GGAAGGAGAGGAGGGGGAGGAGGAGGAGGGGGAGGGGGAAGAGAAAGAGGAGGAGAGGAGAAGAAGAAGAGGAAGAGGAAGAAGAGGAGGAAGAAGAGGAAGAAGAGGAGGAGGAAGGGGAGGAGGAGAAGGAGGAGAAGGAGAGAACGTCTTGGAAAAAAAAAAAAAAGAAAGTAACAAAGTAGGGGGCTTCTTATTCCAAAGCTATTAAGAATTTTGAAACAAGGACAGCAGAGTTTCAACCAAGCTGGTGCCCTTCTGAGCCCAGGGCTCGTGAATCCAACCCAGCCCTGCTTATGTGGAACACTTTTCTCAAAATAAAATAAACAGGTTCCCAGTCTGTCTCCTCCAGGAGAAATCCCTTTGATTGCAAATGCACAGGCATGAGTAGAGTGGCTCCCCAGTTCAAGCAAGGTGTCCTTCTGTGTCTGTGGACTTACGGCTGCCTCTGGTGGTTGCCAAGAGAAACATGAGCAGAAAGGTAGCTGGGCTGCTTCCATGTTTTTAAAAAAATCACGGTTTTAGGTGAGAATTCCCCAGAAGACTGAGCGGAGAATGAATGGGAAGGTGGCCCAGGCAAAGGGGCCCGAGAAACATCTGCAATGGCAGAAAGGTGTGACCAGGACAAGCCCCGGGAGAGATGGCTCTGGGCTTTCAGAGAACATAGTTGGAAGGTATCCAGCTCCTTTGCCTGTGCCCAGAGTGTTTGTTGTCTCTCTTTTACAGAAGAAATTGAGGCCAGGGGTCTTGTAAACAGCTGGCTTGCACATAGATTTCTTGGGAGTTCAGCCAAGAAGCTATACCAACAGCAGCCACTCAGGTGGGCAGTCCTGTGCCTGAGAGGGAGAAGGTCTGGGTGAGAAAGGGCACTGGTCACTTCCTGTCATGCCAGTTTCTGCTGCCCGATTAGAAATGTATGTTTCCCGGAGAGGTAAAAAGGGGCAGGGCCCTGGTCACCTCCACCTACCCCTTGTTGCTGTGGGTAGGGACAAGAGCTGTTTGCAGCCTCTCACCACTCAGACTGAGAGATGTCAGGAAGCCACAGGGTCCCGGGAACCCGCAGGCCATTCTCCGGGGCTCTGCCACTCTGGCTGAATGGCATGTTATTGCCCACCTTCCTTTACTGGTTTCTAGGAGGGTCAGATGCAAATAGATGAGGATGCGTTCTTGTTTTATGATTTCCAACACTGTGGCCAGCCTAGGTGGCTGTGTTTTCCTTCCCAGCCCTGTACATCAGCTGCGTTGGCCTTGGTGGGAACCCTGGGAGAATAAGTCACAGGACGGGAAAACCTACAGATGAATTCTGCTCAGAAAGACACAGGCAAATTCTACTGAGGAAATGTGGCAGGAAAGGCTGGGACTCTTAGTGCCTCTTGACAGGGGAGGAATGACAGTGTTTCAAGGAAACTGCCATCTGATTGGTGAAGAAAGACAGTGCTTCAAGGAACTTGTCACCTGATTGGTGACAGGAGACTACTCTTTAAAAAACTTGCCACCTGATTGGTGAGAAAGACAGCACTTTGAGGTTTCTGCTTTCTGATTGGTGAGAAAAAGCATTGCCCGGAGGTCTCTGCTTCATGATTGGTGAGAAAATATCTGCTCTCTGATTAGTGAGGAAAAATTTGACTCAGGAGGTCCAGTCATCTGATTGGTGAGGATAGACGTCTCTGGAAAGTCCGGATCTGTCCCCTCAGCTCTTTCCTTTCCTGGTGTCAAGCTCTTACGGGAGGTGGGACACTTCCTACCAAAAAGAGACCCTGAGATCTTGGTGGGAACCATCTTTAGGAGAAGTTCAGATGCCGGAGGGATGTGTACCCTTGAGATCTTCACACAGGGGTCTCCTGGTCAACCCCCTTCCATCACCACCACCACGAGCGCCTCCTGCCTTGTGTTCCCAGGGCCAGATGGTTCAAGGGAATGGTTCCTTGGGGGGAAGCACTTTTTCCCCAGTATTTGATCTTTGACAGTTTGCTCTCAGAGGCTTCTGAAAATTTGTAGGTATGGTGCTGCCTCCAGGCTCCATTTTTTTGTTTGTTTGTTTGTTTGTTTGTTTGTTTGTTTGTTTTGAGATGGAGTCTCGCTGTGTCATCCAGGCTGGAGTGCAGTGGCGCAATCTCGGCTCACTGCAACCTCCGCCTCCCGGGTTCAAGCAATTCTCCTGCCTCAGCCTCCCGAGTAGCTGGGATTACAGGTGCGTGCCACCACAACCACCTAATTTTTGTGTTTTTGGTAGATACGGGTTTCACCATGTTGGCCAAGCTGGTCTTGAACTCCTGATTTCAGGTGATGTGTCCTCCTTGGCCTCCCAAAGTGCTGGGATTACAGGCATGAGCCACCGTGTCTGGCCGGTTAGGCCCCAGCTTTTGAGATTGACTTCCCAGAGCCCCACCATAGGCCTTCAGGTGAGGGCTGCACTTCTTTGCTTTGTTTCAGATGAATTTCACAGGGGAACAGGGGCAAAGGGCAGGGGTTCTTGACTCCCAAATTGGCTTGGGAACGGCCTCTGGGGCCTCTTTACCCCCGACTTCTCAGAGCCTGGGCAGGGAGCCGAGGCCACCCATATTCTGCTGGTGACTGGCTGACTAGGGGACGTTGTCCAGTGCAGAGCAGGGTTGGACCCAGACAAGAACAGCCTGGAGTAAGGGCATCAGATTCCAAACGTTACTATGTAGTTGCCCCATTTGGGAAGTTTCGTAGCAACAAATTTGTTGGGTTATTTCTCCCCTCCCCTGGTTTAGAAGCAAACCAGAGCTGGCAGGGTTGGCGCGTACAAAGGACTGTAATAAACGTACCCAGGGAACAGGCGGCTGCACTCTCCAGCTATTCAGTGCGATTTCACAGCACTGGGACGGCCTCGTTATGGTGCGAGCTGTTGTCCTATATAAAGTCAGATGAGATAAATTTCTCCCTTTTCTCCGCTGGATTGTTTGTGAATGATACTCGTCTTGGAATCTGTCAAAAGACAGGAGGTTTTGTTTACCATTTATCTTCTTTATGGACTTTGGGGGCGCTTTCTCTTTTGAGCAGGCAAAGACGACCGAAGACTATTTAACCATTTCAGCCCTGCCCCCATTGATAACAATATTAATTTATCATTTTCCCAAACCATCTGTGATGGATAAAGACATTCCAGGAGTCTCCCGTGAACCGAATTGTGATGAGAATTAAGAAATTAACCAGTGCATCCAGCATCCCTGTACAAAGGGCCTGCATTCCATCTCACTGAGCTGCCTGTTTCCTTCTCTCATTGTCTTTCCCCACTTCAAGCCCATGTGGTTAAATGAAGGCTAGGAAGGTGCTTGAGTCCCAAGCAAGAAGATGCAATAATTAGCCAGGGCAAAAGCATGCAGTCATCCTCACATGTTTGCCAGGACATTCTTGCTACTTCCATCCACCCCTGATTTCTTCCAGCAGCT